AGCGTTTCCCTGCTGCTTGGTCTGTTTCTGTTGCTCAGCTTCCCCCTTTCCCTTAGCGTTTTCCGGGCATTCGCTCTTGCGGTGTCCCGGCGGATTGCACGCAAAGCAGCGCCCTTTGAACGGTGCGGCAGCGGCATTTGCGGCGACGGCACGTATCATAGCGCCCTCGTTCGTCCCACGAGGCCGATGTCCCCAATGGCTGCTTCCGTAGGACCCTGGTCTCGGTCGGCGGAAGAAATCGAGCTTCTCCGCCATAGCGACAATTTCCTGGAAATTTGTGACGCCGTGGAGCTGGATTTCCTGAGCGATGTCCTGCTTCAGGCCGCCGATGTAGCGGTCGATGCGCTCGCTCTCGTGCATGTATCCCACCTGCTCGCATAGTGCCAAAAATCCGCTCGTGTAGTCCTGGAAGGAACCGAGTTGGCGCCAAGTGCGGAGCTTCTGTCGCGCCGCGATCGAGGCCGCAATTGTCTCGAAACGAGCGCGCAGACCTACGCACCACGCGTCCCACGTGCGATACTGGGGCACCTCCACGAAATACGACGGCGCCTAGGGTCCGGTTTGTCCTTCCCGTGTCGGTAGAGTCGCGTAGTCTGCCGGCTTCGTGACGATGACACGCCACCAGTCCATGGCGGGTCCTCGCAGCAACGACACGGCGTAACGGATCTTCGCCGTATCCTCCGAGACGTAATTCGCGTCGAAGAAAACGTTCAACGTGAATAGCCACGCCTGAACGGTAGGACCACCCCGTTGACTCGGGTCAAAACACGGCGGACGCTGCGCCTTCAGCGGCATCGGCGACGGTAGAGTTGACTCGCCGGCCGGCACGGAAATCGTGACTCGAGGTTGACTTCTGGCCGCATTCGTCGCGTCGGGGTGTGTCGTGCCATGGTCGTCGTCTCCGTCGTGACGGACGACGCCATCACTGGCCGCACTTGCGGGTTGCCCCATGCTTCAGTGTTGCGATGTCTGTGGTGCGGGCTGTATCGGAGTGCCAGGTGCTTGGGATTGTGCTCGTGCGATGTCATTTTGCAGGGAGGTGCGTTCCGCCGTTAATGCCGCGATTTCTTCGGAGCTTTCGTACAGTTGTCGCAGCAGCTCGTCCAGGCGGTCCTGCGTGAGGGTGGTGACGTCGATGCGTTCGGCAATTCCGAAGGGCGTCGGCTCGTCTTAGTCTAGGCGCAGTCGTGGCTGCACGCATTTACGAGAGAACGCGAGGACAGCGGCTCCTAGGGGCTAAGGTGCGTGAGTCCCTTCGAGTGAAAAATCATAAGTTGGTTTCCTGGGGTGCGGAGATGCGCGGTCCGGAAAGGAAAGAGGCTCTGATACTACGTGTTACGGGTGCAATGAATCGAAGTAGCGAGAATTGCACTAAGGTGTCAAACGAGTACAAAATGTGAGCGAAGGCATGGGCGAACATTTATACGCGAAACGTGCAAACGGTAACGCGGTGCGTGCGAGCTAGCTAGTGCTGCGCTGGAGGCGAGGCTTGGGCTAGTCCCGAAGCGTAGCCGATACGGCCGGTCCAGCAGTGCAAGGTTTGGTGAAACAGTGCGCGCGAAGTTGGCGAAGCCCCGTTAGCAGTAACGGGCGAACAATGGCTGCTGCTGTACGCGATGTTGCAGGGGCGCTAAGGAATATCGAGAAAATTCCTTACAAGTTTCAAGATTTTTTTTGCGGGATTTACATGTGTCATTCGCGTGATTTCTTAGCTGTTGTTAGTGACTGAATCCGTGACCCCACTTACCAAACCCGTCAGCAAACCCGATAGAGTGACCGTACGCGTTAATTTTTTACCATTCACGTTATAGAGTCACATGTTGGTTAGGGCGGGTCAAACTTTGCACGTGTTCGCAGGAAACCCTACCCAACCATCTTTTGTTTTAAATAGACCGTCCTAGATCAATCCTGAACCCTTTTAAACCGCATTCGGACGTACTCTTTTGACCCGCCCTTACTTGTGACATGTTTTGCTGTGGCCTGACTCATATCAGTGGTGTGCGGTGCGGATGAGCCTCCTGGGTTACTGCATTCTGTACATCCACCCACATCCACATCAACAACATGGCCATGGGCTTCTTCCCATTCACCGACCAGCCAGCCCTTGGTCAATGCCAGATCAGCCGCCAGATCAGATGCGACAGTTTGTGCATGACACTAGGGTTAGTTCACTTCCTGCTTTCGGAAAATGGGGATGCCAGCAGCATCCCCTAACAAGTGCTTCCATGCTATTCATTTTGCCCGTCCAAGTGCAGACGTTCGCCAAAGACATGCAAGCAATCTTACCACCTATCCATTCTTGTGAGGACCATTTCTGCTGAAGTTCCTAGCTGCTGGCTACATCTGCTTGGCGGAGGTGTTTTAGGGGACCATATAAAAAACTCTGGGTGCCTTCCCGCAAATACGGAAACTCATCGTCATTGAAACGAATGTGACACTGTACAGTGCAAGACGTGTGAATGTGAATTCACTGCGCTTGACAACAAACACCTTCCCCAAGCCCACTCAACACACTTCCACCCGGTAACCGGGGACTGTACTGTAGTAATGCACAACTGCCTCCCACTGGCGCCATGGCTTCGACCAATAACCAGCATCCAGGGTGGGTAGACAACGAGGCAGGCGAGTTGCGTCGCGTGAGCACTTTCCCTAGTACACTGAATACCTCATTCTAAAATCAGATTCGTGAATGAATCATCTTCTGACTACAGATGCGATGTGACTTTTCTTGCAAGATTGACACCAGCCCTCTGCAGACAACAAAGTTCGTCGAACGCCCTGTGAAAGTTCCCGAAGTCCTGACGGTCAGTGCTCTCCACCATAATATAACCTACTGTGACACAAGAATTCACAAGAATTACCGTGTACAATTTCCCTCCGAGTTCGGTCTTGAGCACCATAATTTCACAAACACCTGCCCTTTTTTGTTTTGTTTTTCAGGACTAGTCCTGCTGGTCGGAACAACTTCCTTCAAGATTGCTGGAGATTGCAGGAGGAAACGGTACTGTCCCAAATGGCCATTTTTCGTGATTTTGAAGGAAACGGGGCTATATAGCAATTGTCAACATAGACAGACTCCAATCGAGAATTACGTGTGCGGTTGGTGGGGGGCGGGGAGGACTGGTTTCTGTGGTGTTTGATTCGGTCGGTGCGCTCTTCTTGCCTATGCGCTCTGCTTGCCTCTGCTGCGTGCAGGAGCATTGGCTGGGGGTTTTTAGTTTACGCGGAAGGCTTACTGTAGCTTCCTTTCTTTCAAGGGAATTTCATCTCAACTTGCGCACACTTTCCGCTGATCCGCTTCTGAGACGGAAGAGTTATTGTGCTTACACAGAACTCGGCTTTTCCGCACGTCACGCAAGCACTGTTCTCGTCGGATTTCTTCCGCCAGCAAGCACAAAACTAAACCCCTCTCGGATGGGAAGTTTTCAAGAGCATCAACTCTAAACACCACGCGACAAGGTGTTTAGGGTTGATGCCATACATTAGCATGCCAGCCAGGAGGGATTTAGTTTTGGCATCAACCCTAAACACTTAGTCGCAAGGTGTTTAGGGTTGATGCTCCTTTACACTTGCCAGCCGAGAGGGATTTAGTTTAGTGCGGATAGAAAGGCAACATAAAGTTGTGCACCGAGATGATGACACGTGGGTAAATGTGGAGTCGAGTTCTGTCTTCGCGGAAAAAGTCTTCTGTCTGGGCCGCGAAACCTGGGAAACTGTGTGCAGGTAGAAAAGAAGTTTTTTAGAAAGCGCAGGTTCGGAAGTACCTCTTCCGCCGTAGCTAGAAACCCATTGGCTGGCTCACCTTGCTCGTCTCGTCCCCGGAAGCCAGACCAGATCACTCAATCGAAAGCAAGGACCAGAAGACCACCCACGGTTTCTTTCGTCATCGCCACCACCACCCCTGCATTCCATTGGCTTGGCAGGCGATACAATTACTGTACACAACCACCACAACCACCACCACACAATCGCCACCATTACGGTACCATCGCCACCTTCACCAATGTCATCAAAACCATACCCAACCCAACCTTGCGCATCTTTGTCCCACCCTCCCCCTTCTTGATGCTCGTCGCCAATTCCTCGATCCCGTGTCTTCCATCCTAGAACGCCAGCCTCCCCAGCAGCACGCATCTCTGGTTTCCTGGTCATTCTTCCGTCAGCAGCTCGACTTCCTTCCAGCCACCATTGATGCGCACCTTTTCCACACGACCACTAGTTTCAAGTCGCAATTCATTATTCGGCTAGTCGCGTCACATTTCATACCGTGAATGCCGCGGCGTGTCAGCACAAATCCGTCTTTCCTTCCACACCTGGCGCATCATGGCAGCCATGGCGGTTCTGTCACCATGGCGCCATGCGTCGCTGTCCACAGTGGCTCTCCTACTCTCCTCAGTCGCCCTCGCTGTCTCCCTCCGAGGTATCCCATTGTCACCGTGTGAAACGGTCCGCTCCTGAGTTTCTCGGCATTGTAGTGGCACCCCTGCGGTACTATCACCATCTGCGACCTCTGGCGATCTTTCTTTGAGAAGCACGCGAATTGCACGTAGAAGTAGCGAACTGGCGTTTTACCGCGGCGGATCAGAACCGATTCTAGCCTGTCCAAACCAAAGTGGGAGAAGGCTGGGAGAGTGCGTCGAGGTATTGCCAGTGGCTTTCCTTACTCGGTCGAGACCCGTCCATACCCATCTCTCACGCTCTAACGATGCATCCCTTTCCACCCTCTTTCCGTTTCCCGTTCTCCGACGTTTCTTCCCCCTCCCCTTGCTTCCGTTTCCGATCTGTCCCGCTCCATTATCTTCCCCCGGCCGCTGCCAGTCCCCAATCCTGCACCAGATTCCTCCCTCTATGTAGTACAATTGCGTTCCGCGCCGGCCGTTGCCGTATATAATGGCGGCTTTCCCGGGTTTCCCGGCACCGCCGCCGTTCGAAACCCCGCATCCCAAATCGCGAATGCCGCCGGCCGCCTGTTTTCGCGGCGGCCGCGGGTGAACCTGAAGATGCCGCACGTGCGCGCGTTTGCGGAGATGCTGAAACGGCAACAGCGGCGAGTGGCGCGGGATATGGGGATCGGCGCGAGTCGCCTCTTGTACAGGTGCGTGACCGCGGGGAAGGTTTGACCACGGCAAGCTGTGCGCGCTCCATACTTGGCTTCCCACTCGCCTCCCGCTCGCCTCTTCGACTCGCCTCCCCACTTTCCGCATTCCTGCCCGCTCGTGTGCGCGCTCGAGTGTTCTTGCGCGCGTGCCGAATTCTAACCTTCCCCTCTTCTCATTCGTGATACCGCTCGATCTCTCGACAGCTACACGCACGTGGCGAACGGGTTCGCGGCGGAGCTGACGGCGGGGGAGGCGCGGCGGATGCGGCGACACCCCGCCGTGGGCAGCGTGACGCGCAGCGGGCGCTTCCGCCTGCTCACGACCGCGTCGCCCGCGTTCCTGCAGCTGCCGCCGTCGCTGTGGGCGGCGGCGGGCGGGCAGAGCAGCGCGGGCGAGGACGTGGTGGTGGGCGTCGTGGACACCGGCATCTGGCCCGAACACAAGTCCTTCGCTAACGACGTGCGCAGGCATCCTTTCCACCCTCCTCCTTCTCCCCTCCCCTCCCGCCGTTCCCGCCGCTTTCCCTCACGCTCTCGCTTCTTCCCCCCGCAATCTCCGTCCACATCTCCTCACCAACACCCCTCCTCATCCCCCCTTCCTCCCTTCTTTTTCCTCTGTCCCCGAACAGTCTTCCTCCGCGTCTTTCCTCTACGACAGTGCGCCGGCGGGGTGGCAGGGGTCGTGTCGGAAGAGCGCGGACTTCCCCGCGTCCGCGTGCAACGGCAAGATCGTGGGCGCGCAAGTGTTCTACTCGGGCTTCAAGCGCGACTCGCGCGACCGCATGGACTTCACAAAGGACTGGCTCTCGCCGCGCGACGCCGACGGCCACGGCACGTGGTGCTCGGGGTGCGTGCGGTTCGGGGGAAGCGTAAGGGGATAAACCGGGGGTGGGGGGAGATGGGGTGGAGGGTCGTCCGCGAGGGGATGCGCACGGCCGCGGCGCTTGGTTTGTGGGGTGCAGGCTGAGCTGGATGCGCGGGGAACAGTGGGATGGGGGAGGGTGAGGCCAGATAGCGGGGGGGGGTGGGTCGGGGACATGGATTGGGTAAGGCTCGATGACTCAATTAGCATCCCGCTCTTGACCCTCCATGTACCCGTTCTCACCCTCTGCTCTCTCCCTTCCTCCCCTCTCTTTCCCCCCCCGCTCTACCCCCCGCAGCTCGGCAACGGGGAACGGCAACGTGCAGACGCAGACGCTGGGCCCGATCAGCGGCATGGCGCCGCGCGCGCGCTTGGCAGTGTACAAGGTGTTTTGGAAGCAGCGCGGCGGGTACATGTACGCCACGTACGCGGACATCTTTGCCGCCGTCAACCGCGCCGTGGCGGACGGCGTGGACGTGCTGAGCCTGTCGCTGGGCGGGTCCGACAGCTCCGCAACCTACTTTGACGACTCCACCTTCATCAACGTCCATGCGGTGCGTGCGCCGCACGGCCCGCCTTGCCTGCACGCGTACTAGGATGGCTGCTGCACGGGCCACGGAGACGGCTGCCTGCACGGCTGCCTGGACGGCCGCTTGGTTGGACGGTTACTGGGACGGCTGCTTGGATGGCTACCGGCCGAGTGTGAGGGTACTGTTATGCATGGCGTAACGGCGTTGGCCTGGCTCCTCTCATCAGCCTAGTCCGTGCGTGCAACTTTCCTGCTCGCGCCGCTGCGTCTTGCTACCAGCTGCCCATGCGATCGAGCCACACAGCCCGCACCATGCCCTCTGCTACCAGTTCCTTGCTCTCCTGTTCATATAGCCCTCTGCCACTTCGCCACTCAGTCCCACTCGCCGACGCCTCCCCCTTACCCTGTCTCTCTCCCTCCTTCCCTCTTTCACCACCCTGTCTCCATATCTCTCCGTCCCTCTCTCCGCGCAGGCGGGTGTAGTGGTGGCTTTTGCGGCGGGCAACGCGGGTAGCCCGTGGCGAGTGGGCATGGGTTACCGTACTCTGGATAACTTTTCCCCGTGGTACATCACGGTTGGCGCCAGGTATGTGCGTCTCACACTTGCATTCGCGGATTCCCTGCCTGCTCTCAAATGCCCTGCTGCTATATATTGTCCCGTTTCCTCTCTTCCACCCCCTGTTTTCCGTCTGTCGCACTCGCTTCTCTATAACCACCTTCAACAGCTTCTTGCCCTGCTTCCTCGTATGCCCAGCCCACTCGTCCTGTGCTGCTTTCCAGCTTCACAGTACCTGCATGACGATCACATTTGTCCACTTCGCCTATCTGACCGCCTTTCTCACCTTGTGTGTGCCTGATTGCACTCTGGCCGCCTCCTCCCCTGGCTTGCGTTTATGTATGCCTGCTTGCTTCTTCGCTCTCCCTCCACCAATGTTTTTTCTCCCAACAACAGCACGATCAGCCGATTCTCAACCATGACACCAGCATCATCAACATCGTCGTCGTCCTCCTCCTCATCATCGCCTGTCAAACCGACCGAAACAGCAACATCGCCCAACGAAGCACCAATAGTGGCGGGCTTCTCATCCACGGGCCCTCTTGTCGCTCCACTGTACAACCCTGACTCACCCAAGCCCACCAACGATATCCTCAAGCCCGACATCATCGCGCCGGGCGTGTCCCTCTGGGCGGCTACTGCTGGGTCGTCTTTGACTGACACCACAAGTCGGTACGCGCGACTTTCGGGAACCTCTATGGCAACTCCTCACATCGCCGGGATTGCTGCGCTGCTCGTGCAGCGAAACCCCAAGTGGACTCCCGCCCAGATTATTTCCGCAATGATGACGACTGCTACAGTGCGGAACAACAAGGGCTCGCTGATACGGAACTCAAACGGGGACATCGCAACACCCTGGGAGACGGGCGCGGGGCATGTGAATCCCATGAAGCTTCTGGATCCTGGGCTGACGTATGACGCCAACGAGACGGATTTCCGGAACTTTCTTGCTGGACAGGCTCTGACCCGGGCGAAGAGATTGTTCAAAGGAATCACGTTGCAGTCCATCAAGGCTTATAACCTCAATAGGCCTTCGATCGCTGTTGGACGGCTAGCTGGTACAGTAACCGTCCAGCGGCGTGTTACAAATGTTGCTGATGCAGCGTCGACATACACAGCAGTTGTTGCGGGTATGGACGGGGTCTCGGTAACAGTAAAACCACCAAGTTTCACTATAGAGCCGGGTAAAACAGTGAGTTACAATGTTACGCTGACAGCTCTGCGTTCATCGTTAACTTATTCATATGGAAGCCTCACATGGAGTGACGGGCTGGGTCACTCTGTCAGGTCACCACTGGTTGTGCAGCCAATAAAGAGATGAGTGGTGTGGTGGAGGGACTGGCTGGAGGCGGAGTGGGGTGACACAGAAAAGGGGTTGGAAGGGGATTGAAGGGGAGAGGAGTGTTCAGTCACTGGTGGCGAAACAGAATTGGTGCGGTGCAAGGTTGGCAATATGGTCCCGTTCAGATGTTGGTTGGAGGTTGGGTTTGGGTGGGCGTGATTGTCGAGCCGAGGAATGAGGCATGGTGGGTTCCTGATTTGTTGCGTAGCTGCTGATTGGTGCCAGATAGTCACAGGCTCTGTGACTGCTGTCTGAAGTGTTGCTGCTATGTTGATATGACAAGTTGTTTTGTCGTAATAAGTTCAGTGTATTCAACAGCTGTGATATCGTGCACCATTATACTAAGCTGAGCACATTTGCAGCAGCCTGTTAAGAAAAGCGTAGCAGTAGAACCTGCTGGGATGGGATGGGAGTGCTGCCATCTGATATGCATAATGCAACATCTCTGATCGGATCTGTTGCCATAGTATGTTCACGCACGCGACTTCATTGCACAGAAATAACTACAGTAGGACCTAGAAGCATATAGGGAGTAAGAACACAAAGCAGCCGCGTTGTAGGTTGGAGAATATTATTTTTGTAATCTATATTCTGCTCCTGGAAACAGAAGCACAGAAACCTCAATGATCCCCCCACTCAGGCCTGCCATGCTACTTCCTGGCCCCTCCTATCCCATATTTCCATGATCCCATTGCATCCTGTACCATCCCATCCCATCCCATCCCATCGCATCGCATCCCATCCCATCCCACCCCATGCCATTCCTCAACCGTCATCCACCTGCGCTTTCACAGCCTTCCTTGTTTCCTCTCCAGTGTCTTCCTCTCGTGGCCTCTTCACACCCTGCTGCTGTGACCCACCTCTCTCTGCTGCCTCACACCCACCTTGTTTGCTCTCTTCCACTTGCTGCTGTTGCTGCTGTTGCTGCTGCTGCTGCTGTAGTAGCTCCCCCGCCCCTACTTGTGCTGCACCAGCTGTCCCCACCTGTGCCACACCTCCGTTCTTTCCTGCCTGCCTGCCAGCTTCCATGTCAGCAGGCTCAGTGTGAGCGCTCTGCTTATTATTAACTTCCGAGCTGCGTGCGTTAGCCTCAGAGCCTGCCAAGTCTGGTGCGCATGCACACGCACCACCCTCTCTTGCCACACCAGCATCACCCACCCCTGGAGCAGCTGCACTGTTCTCCGCTGCAGCAGCTGCATTCTCACCCGCAACAGCAGCATCGCCCTTGCCTACAGCAGCATCTTGGAACCCCTCACAAGCATTCACGCATGCAGCAGGAGTGTGTGGAATGCTTGCAGGTGCTGCTGCTGCTGCTGCTGCTGGTGCTGGTGCTGGTGCTGCTGCTGCTGCTGCTGCTGCTGCTGCTGCTGCTGCTGCTGCTGGTGCTGCTGGTGCTGCTGGTGCTGTTGCTGTTGCTTCACCATCCAGCATTGGATGGCTGGCGTGCAGATGAGGAGAGGGAGCAGCAGCAGCATCAGCAACACTGACAGAAGCGTCAGCACCAGCCAAACCAGCAGCCACAGCACCCACATCAGCAGCAGGTGCAGCAGCAGCCGTCACATGAGAATCAGTGGCGCATCCAGTGGCAGGAGGGGCGGCACTGGCATCACCAGGTGAAACAGCAGCAGGGGCGAGAGAGGGGGAAGCAGGTGCTGTGGCATCTGGAACTGGGACTGGGACTGGTGGGAGAGGCGTGGAGTCAAGAAATGTAGTGGATGGTGCAGTTTCAGCAAGAGGAATAGGAGGATCAGTAGAAACAGGGGATGCAACAGCGGCAGTGGAAGGAGGAGAAGAAGGAACAGCTGCAGCAGGAGGAGCATCATCCGCAGCAGCAGTAGTGGAAGCAGGAGGAGGAGCAGAAGCAGGGGCAGGAGAAACAGCAGCCGTGGCAGGATCTACAGATGGATTTACAGGGACAACCCCAGCAGTGGGAGGGGCAACAGCAGCAGCGTCCGTAGGATTAGCAGGGGCAGCAGGGGCGGCGAGAGCAACAGTAGCAGGGGCAACAATGGTAGGTGTGGCAGGTGCAGCAGCAGCGGTTGCAGGGGAAACAGCAGCAGTGGCTGGGGCAACAGCAGCAGTGGCAGCGGCTGTTGGTCGGGGAAGGTCAGAGGCAGCAGGTGAGGGGAGAGGCGGTGCAGGCAGGTGCTTGAGGGGATGTAGAGGATGCAGGGAGTCCCGCACATGGGGTGGTAGGTCTGCTCACAGGGGCCGTGGGAGTGATGGGTGGTGGGCGATATGGGGCATGCGAGTGGCGTACAACACACGAATAGAGAGATGAGCGCGGACAAGGGTACAAGGGTACAAGAGCAAAGAGATCTGGAGATGACAAGGACATGAACAAACGTGAAGGCGGTACAAAATAGGAGTGCCGCAGCGAGCACTCGTGATGACTGACCGCAAGGGGAGGTGGCGCAAGAAGAGAAGGCGCAAGGGGAGGAAAGGGTGAGTACCTGAGGGCAGCATGGGCGTGCCGAGGTCGGTAGTGGTGAAGGTGACGAGGGTGCAGTACCCGTCCTGTGACGCCACCACCAAACACCTCCCGTCCGGTGCCCTGCCCCCGTGGTCACCGTGCCGTGACAGAGGGGAGGGCAGACGGGAGGAGATGGGGAGGGGAGGGGAGACGGGAGGAGATGGGGAGGGGAGGGGAGACGGGAGGATGGGGAGGGGAGGGGAGGGGAGGGGAGGGGAGGGGATGGGAGGAGAGGGGAGGGGAGGGGAGGAGAGGGGAGGGGAGGGGAGGGGAGGAGAGGGGAGGGGAGGGGAGGGAGGGGAGGGGAGGGGAGGGAGGGGAGGGGAGGGGAGGGGAGGAGAGGGGAGGGGAGGGGAGGGGAGGGGAGGGGAGGGGAGGGGAGGGGAGGGGATGGGAGGAGAGGGGAGGGGAGGGGAGGAGAGGGGAGGGGAGGGGAGGGGAGGAGAGGGGAGGGGAGGGGAGGGGAGGAGAGGGGAGGGGAGGGGAGGGGAGGAGAGGGGAGGGGAGGGGAGGGGAGGGGAGGGGAGGAGAGGAGAGGGGAGGGGAGGGGAGGAGAGGGGAGGGGAGGGGAGGGGAGGGGAGGAGAGGGGAGGCTTTGAGGTTTAGGGAAGGGGATGGAAGAGGGGAGAAAGGAGCATGGGACATGCTGGCGAGGCAGCAGAAAGTGCTGGCAGCAAAGTGAAGTGCAGCACGGCCGGCCCCACACATACCCCCCCAGCCCCCCTCCTCCCTCTTTCCCCGCCACAGCAGCACAACACACATGCACCATGCATGCTCGCTCACCGTGCAAGGATGGTGGTGTGAGTTGTACAGTGGGCACAGTTCCGCAGCCATTGAAGAGACATAAGAGTTCCTTTGAGAGTTGACTCAAAAGCCTACAGCACAGCACAATGCTAAAGCCAGTTCGGCCCAACCCACCCTGCTATCCACCACCCCCTGCCCCTGCCCTCTCTCCCTTGAGCACCGCAGTGCAGAGTGCAAACTGCAGTACATAAATTGCTGCTTCTGCGCTTCTGATTCCGCTCAAAAGACTGCGTGTGCGCGCGCTGCATGTGCGGTCACCATGCAAGGGCAGGCAGCGATGGCAGCCGAGTGCAGGCGGGCGAGCCCCGTTGCTTCTTACTCCAACCACCTTCACTTCACCTCGCTTCTCTCCCTGGCTTTCTCGCCCGCTCACCATGCAATGTCAGTGCAGGCCACCGAGCAGGGCGAGGGTGCGTGGCGTGGTAACGAGCTGCACAAGTGTCTGTCATATGTGCTGTGCGCTAGTGAGTGGACCGGAAAAACTGCTTGTGCCCTGCATGCGCGCTCACCATGCAAGGTCCGTCCGTGACGGCAGCATAGTGCAGGCAGGCCGGCCACTCAGCCCCATGCTACCCAACCCTTCTCTGCTCCCAACCGCATGAATAGTGCGCTGCATGCATGTGCTGTGCCGTGCATGCGCGCTCACCATGCAAGGTCCGTGATGGCAGCATAGTGCAGGCCGCCAAGCAGCGCGAGGGGGCGGGGCGTGGCCGTGTCGTAGAGGCACACTGAGTTGGTGGATGCCACAGCATACACCATGCGGTATGGCAGTGACACGGGTATGGGGGAGAGCGGTGCGGAGGAGGAGGCGGCAGGGGATGGTGGTGCGTTCTGTT